CTAAGAGCAATGGCCTCCAATGTAATAGCGATGGCCTCCAACCTACTAGCGATGGCCTCCAACCTGCTGGCGATGGCCTTCAACGTAAAAGCGATAGCCCCCAACCTACTTTAGATTCGGCTCACTGCCTTAACGCCACTGACTAGCTCTTTTGCTCGATCATGATCTCGGTCCTTCACAGTTTGACAGGGTGGTTGCAAGCTTCCCTAAAAATCTAGAAACCAAATCATTCGTGCGAGCGCTTCTTCAAGGAAGCTTCCCCGCCGCCCTAAAGGCTGTGGGGGGAGCTTCCTTGAAGGTCCATTCTAGCAGCTTACTTGTAGCCACTAGCTACCTAGCTTCTACTAGCTACCTCTAGCTAGCTACGTCACCTCTACTAGCGGCCTACCTCCCCTTAAAAAAAAAAAAAACACACACACATTAATTTGGAACATCTTTGAACTCCGAGATCTGCGGTGTTCTTTGTTTTGACTCGACTTGTCCTTGTCGTACTGCCGTCGGGTGGCCTGGTCGCCTCCGATTCGACGGTCCGAACGGTGGTCCGCTTCGCGGACCCGGGTCGCGTTGGCTCGTTTTGGCTCGTTTGCCAAACAGCTCGGGGGGGTCGTGCCCGACTTGATTCCCATGGTGCTTCGACAGATGGAAACCATCTCACAAAAACGACGCAAGTGCGTTCCTAGGACAAGATGGGCATTCTTCACCGAGATGAAAATGGTCTCGTAGTCCTGCATCAACTTAGATGGGAGGCAAGGATGGCTGCTTGATGCTGCTTGTGGTCTCAATCTGCACTCAGTCAGCTGAAAGCATTGAATAGGACATTCCTGCTGCTGCTGTGAGGACATTCCCTTCGTCTTGTCAGGATGATAGACGAGGGAGAGCCGCTTGTAAGCGCGATTCACTTCGTCCAAAGGCTCGTATTCGTCAATACCTAAGACCTGCACACTAAAGGCAGCGACTGATTCACGAGCATTCACAAGCTGCAGCTGATGGTTTCAAGGGTCAACCCCCAAATCGATCGATCTGGGCCTCATAGTAGTTCACAGATCGGTCATAGTCGAAGGCTTTGGATGCGGAGAAATCGACCTGGAAGTAGCACTACTCAAGAGAAGGATGATGAATCTCTCAATCAGGTTGAGATGCAGGGACCAGTGAGGACCCCAGTGGCTGGCTTGATTTTTGTATAATTGGATTGGATCAGTATGTTTATAGTATGTTCCTGTTATTTCCACTGGCGAAATACCCAGCTTCCTGCTTGCCTCATCTGGAGTAAAGGCCTGATCCAGAGCAGCACGCTTTTTGTCCTGAGCTGTTCACTTAATTAAGAACTAAGAACCATAAATATCATAAGTCCGGGACATTGAACCAGTGCTTTGGTGCTTTTTCATGGTGCTCTTTCAAGGTGCTTCACCAACAAAGTGACAACAATTTGTGTCTGCAACGTCGTGCGTCAACGAGCCCCCGAGCCCGTTCTTCGGAGTATTCCTTCAGGAGCTCATCGACTCGAACTTGGGCCTCAAAGTTTGAGAGCTTCTTTCAGCCATGGTGACTACCCAAAAGTCACATCTCAAGAGCTTTTCAAGTTTGAGAGTCAAACTCCATCTCATGAATTTGATACGTCCTTATAATATATCATCTGTCCGGGATTAATGTTAGGATACTCAGATTACCATAGATCCGTGGCTTTGCTCCGCTTCACCCCATGCCTGGAAGGCTTTGCTCTGCTTCAACTGTCGCCTTGGAGCTGGCAAATCAGCACTGCTACGGCCGTGGGGAAGAACTTAGGCTGAAACTGCTGCTCCTGGTGTAAGCCAAGGCTTGGTATGTGTGTGTGTGTAGTGAAAGGTATTCCTTCCGCTTCAACGTCTTCTGTCGTCAGTGTATAGTCATGAGCAGGAAGAACTGACAATGGATGAGTTCGAACATATGTCATCAGTCCTAGGGCCTAGAAGACATTTCCCACGAAAACGTCTGTACCCCTAGAGTATGTTTAAAAGGATGTCTGCTGTTTAGATGGTTCTTCAAAAGGCTGGTCTCACCATCTTTATTTCTGGCCAAATGCTTATTTCCAAGTGCTAATCAAAATCTAATTTGTACGGTGATAGAATGTGCATTGCCTCTTTTGGGATGGCCAATAACAGGATCACCATCACCTCCCATCACATCCCATCACCTCCCGTCACTCTCCTCAGTAAGCTTCGAAGTTCCTGCCCGGTCCCCCAGGCGAGCTACTGTCTCCTGGGATGCCGAAAGAAAACCCAGTAGCGTCCTCGTTCCTAGTAGCGATGCCAGGAGCCCCTAGTAGCGTCCTTGTTCCTAGTAGTAAGGCCATAAAGATGGAGCTGGTCCTTTTGGCCAATTTTGGCCTTCCGTCTCATCAGACTCAGCTCAGACTCATCAGCTTCTCATGACTCGCCAATTGAAATGGAGTGCTCTTTGCGAACTGAAATAAGGAATCTCGTGGCCGCTTATGGTGCAATGAGTGCTAAAGCTTGCATCACTTGTGGTGCTTCTTCTGGTCCTGAGAAAAGCTAAATTCGCCATCGAACGTTGCCAGGGCCATTCCAAGCCAAGTGGTTTGGCTGGAAGGAAACGCACATGAATCAAGTGAGATGACCTGTCTCCCCTAGAGCAAACAAACCATGAAGCATACTCAGTTGGCCTGCTTGCAAGCATCAAGTGCTGTCTTCACAAGTGGTATGCTTGCAAGCTCATAATATGCTCATTGCCTGCTGTTGAACCCGTACTGCCCGTACTGATACTTATTCAGTGTGGCGGCGGCAACTGTTCCACACTGGTGAAGGCGGCATTTCATTGTTGCTCAAAGTGTGGCCTTTGTGTTGACAACTCCCATGCAAAAGCTGAAAAAAGCCGAGATAGGTGCAGCCGCAGACATTCCCAGCAAAGCTGTGCAACACAGTCATCACAGTACATATGATGCACAGCCGCGCAAAGGCCAGGGTTGCCAACCAACCTGCGATGAGATGTTGGGATGCCAAATCTTGGTGTCAAACTTCATCTTTGGAGGGTTGTACCTCGAGAGAGAGTATAACGAAGCAAGTCAAACAAGTCCAAGGGTTCAAACTGCACAATGCACCGCTTACACCTCACTTGGAAATGCACGGATATTCCGCAGGAATCTCAATGTCAATGTCAAAGAGTCCACCATGATACCTTGACATCTCGATGTCGATTCTCGATCGACTCCATCATGCGCATCGACTCGAGGGTTTCGGCGTCCCTTCTGAGGACAGGACGGTGTCCCTTCCGGACCCTTCAGCCAAGCCTTCCAATGTGTGAGGTCATTCTCAACCTCACGTCAGACCGAGCTCAGGTGACCGAGCGCCCGAAAACAGCCAGTCTTGGATAGTGTTCGTTAGTTTTTGTTGGTCTTGACTAAAGAAGTGCAGTCCGTATGTTCATCGAAGATTACGAGGAATAGCAGCACGCTACTCGCAAACTACTCTTCTATGCCTAGACAGTCGTATCCGTTTAATATTTGTGTATGTCAACCAAAATTGGATTGTGCACTTGTCACAAACGATTCCGATAATGACTTTCTGTTCCTTTTCGTCACAATCTTGACCAGCGGGTAAAGAAATGCATACGCATCGAAGCAGATTTGACAACCCTGGCCTTCGACTCTTGAATTCTTGCAATCCCTAGATTGAATGCGCTGCTTTCGTAGGGTAATTGAGAGGGAGTTTACAGCAGTGGCTTATTCCGGTGGGCTCTTTTTTGCGGTTGCACGTTATGTCTTGTCTTTTTGTACATGAACATGCAAACCCTCGAGTACCCCATGGAAGGGCTGGGAGGGACGGACACGGAGCGCGAGTTGGTTGGTTGGAAGTGAAGTCCGTGTTTTGCATCTTCAATCTGCTTCTGAATATCCGGTGCAAAGTACGAGGCTCCAACAGAATCTGCTGATACCTGAGCCTCCTTCCCATCTTTCGCAAGAGCGCGAATATCCTGGTATGGCACCAAGCACAGAAACCACTTTATATGGAACAAGTATCATATCGCTGACATGCTTGAACCAGACTCATTCATAGAGTGGATTGAAAGCAGAAGGTGATTCGCCTTTCCCATTTGTTGCCCTTGGGATTCCTTGGGACTTAAATTTGGGACGTCTCTTTGGCACCATATATTACAACCCAAGTATATAATATATAGTAATCTACCGTGTGACAACTAAATGGTTTCAGATGTGTTGCTTCGTCACCTCGGCACCCAGACTCGTACGTCACCTCTACCACCCATATCCACCCATCTCACTCGGCCTGCAACTCTTTCTCTAAGCGCTTTAGCTCACGAGGCCTTGCCGCCTTGGTCGTGCGCAGTGCACAGCAACCGGGACGTTCGTTGGTCGAAGCAACGACGAGTAGAAACGACCGGTGCAGCGACGTTGTTTTCGACGAACCGGCTGTGCATCCAACCATGACGAGCGTTCGACCTTGGAGCGGTCGACCTTGGAACATCGGAGCACGCTTTTAGACGGAACATCGTGATTCCGACGCGATTTCGCTACTCTTAGTAGACTGGTTTCTGGCACAGGCTTCAGCCTTCTGTGAAAAAGGAGCAGTACGAGTGTCTCAACGAGACCTATGGCCTTTATCAGGCCAAAGGCTTTGCCAATAGCACTGAGGATAGCACTACAGTCTTTGTCAGTTGGTGTTAGTCCTTGCTACGATGCTCAACGAAAACATTACATCACTCCTGACTACATACTGTGAAGTGACGCCGCCTCAACTTCTTTATTGACGCCAACGATTTATGCCATGGCAAAATGGCCAAACGGGCCGAGGTCGCGAAACTCCTACTGAGAACCGAGAGGTCGCAGGAATCCCAAAACACAACCGCTGAATCTATCTGAATCTCAGAGCCCGTTCAGGGCATTCCATCTCTTCAAAGGCCAACATGCATCTGAGACAAAAAAACAAGCAAGCAGTCGAGCCTTTTTGCGGTTCCTCCTTGCGACGCTTACCATGGCAGTCAGCCAGTGGCAGGAGGGCATCGCCACGCTTGATCTCAAACACCCTCTCCAGTTGGGTTGAGATTGCAAATGGAGTTGTTAGAAAACACCAATTTATCTGCGCATTTGCAGACAGGGAGAAATACATGTGAAGTGTCAGGCATGGCAATCTCTTGGTTTCTTCTCCTGTAGAGATAGGGTGAAACATGGACAATGGCCACATCCTGTGACCGGAAAATGTCACAGGTGTCCTGGTTGGAACAAAATCAGCATTTGCCCCTTGAAAAGCGATTCTTTTGTTGAGAATCTACCTTTGAAATGCTTCCGACGGACGTCCAGTATAGCAAGCCACTTCAACAGGTCGGTCTAACTGTCCGCCTTCTCAGGTCTCAACCAGGAACCAGCTTCGAGCATTGTTCACATACCTGAGCAAAACGCCCGTGAATTGCAAACACATAGAAATTGTGTGTTGCCGATGTTGTTCAACAAATCAAAGTTTTGCAGGTCTGCTGCAGAGTCTAGTTGGTTCTGTTGTTCGGATGTGATGGTCCCAGGTTGGGACAGAACGGGAGGGTCCACTCCAAGCTGCTGAAAAACTTCTTTGGCATGCGGAGAAGAATTCTTGTCGGGGTGATACTCCACCAGAAGCTCCTGCTTGCACAGGTCAGGTCGTGGCATAAGACATTTCACGAAAGCCATTGGCAGACCAAGCCTGTGAGCGATCATTAGATCTAAACCACCAGAAAATGCTGTAAATAGTTCTGGAAAAAACTGGGCAGGACTCCAGGACATCACAAGGCCCCGTCCTTGAAGAGCTTCCGTCTGGTGGCAATAGGTTCGTCCATTAGATCGTGCAATTTCTTTTCAACTGCCTTCACCTGTCCAAAGACATGGACGGCAAGATTCGAAACCAAAAGGGATTGAACATGGAATCAAACTGAAAAATAAGAGATTTGTTCATTCGCAAACAAACACAAAATAAAAGAAGATGTATGAATATATCTACTGTATTATAGTAGTTGAGTATTAAAACATACCAAAAAAGTATACAGCAGCAACAGCAAGGTACAATCAAAACTGCAGCCCTGTCACTGTCAACACACATCTTACTTTGTCTCTACCCCCTCCAGAAGCAAAAGCTGCAGCCCCGCGGTAGTTTTGATCCCCCTCAGCCAGCACTGGCACTGTCACTGGCACTTGCACTTGCATTTGCAGGTGTAGTAGTAGTAGTCGTCCTCGTCTTCGTCGTAGAAGTAGAGGTAGAGGTAGAGGTAGAGGTAGAAGTAGTAGAAGTAGAAGTAGAAGTAGTAGTAGTAGTACTAGTACTAGTACTAGTACTAGTAGTAGTAGTAGCAGTAGTAGTAGTAGTAGTTTGTCGTAACTGCTACTACTTCTACTATTACTGCTGCTACTACTACCACAACCACTACCACACTACCACACTACCACACTACCACTACTACGACTACTACGACTACTACTACTACTACCACTACTACCACTACTACCACTACTACCACTACTACCACTACTACTACTACTACTACTACTATTACTACTACTACCACGACCACCACCACCACCACTACTACTACTGCTACTACTACTACCACCACCACCACTACTACTCCTCGACGACGACAACGACGACGACTACTACCACTACTACTTATTCTACTTACTTACCTACTTGCCTATCTATCTAGCTATCTACATATAGGAACCTCGCACTGTTGCATTCTTGCACCCCACGCTCAAAAGGTGTTGTTGTCTCTACCCTTGCCCGCCCAGAACAACACCTCAAAAACACTAGAAAGGAGCCAGCCCAGACTTCAGTGAAACAATTCCAGCTACTTGCGAAATCAACATTCCCTCAAAGCTTTTACCGTATCCCTAACCATGTCCCATTGAAGTTCCAGAGTTACAACGTGTGACAACATGTGACAACTATGTTGGGCCGCAGCTTTCGTTTCTCCCAACAACGACAACAACAACAACAAGACATGCGGAAGTACTTTCTCTTGAACCTGCATGAACACCACGTGACAAGGCCCGTCCGGCCTCTGGAGGCAAGTTGCTCTCCGGCGGAGGAGCCTTGTTGCTTTCGTTGCCCCCATGTCCCGGGCCTGCAGCAAGTGATATGAAGTAAGACCTAGTAGGTAAGAGATTGACATAAGGGGAAGTATATAGAAGGTTTCATACTCACATGTCATAGTAGGTGAGCACAAATCAAGTGCTGTGCAAGAGATTCTGCCTGGCCTTGGCTCTCTCCAGTGGGCGCCGTTGATCTCCGTGCACGGCCAGCATTGAAGCCATCTCTCTCTGGATGAACTTTGGGTCCAGCCTTTGGGTTTGCGCTGGGAGCCTTGCTCGGTCGTTGCGCCCACGAAGCACTTGCACTTGTGGCAGGCTTTGTGTCATCGTCTCCGCGCAAGCGCTCGGCTGCGGCAGCCGCACGGTACGCAGCATTCTCTGCTGCAGCAGCGGCTGCTGCAAATTGAGCTTTGGTGTCCGTTTGGGAAGGCTCCACTGCACGGCTTGGGTTGCGTGCTTTTGGTTTAGGCATCTTTGGCATAAAGCTATGTAAGGCATCCGCGTGTGAGCTACAGAGCTTCACCAGCCCAATCCCGCCCGCGAGGATGCAAAAGACAGTCACGCAAACAACCAAGATCACGATTCCCACAGCATTGCTACTGGTTGGAACTTGGGTCGATGGGACCGTTCCTGCAGTTGCCGCGCGGAAATTGAAGGCCTGTGCAGGAAGGCCTTCCCCCAAGTTTCCAGCCAAGTCCTGCCAAACTCAGACAGTTCTTCAAATGGACTAACTAGGGACTCAGCTGGGGGTCCTATACTCTAGTAAAACAAAGACGGCCTACGCCTGACTAGTGCAGAGTTGGATCTCAATGCCAGTTCACATGATTTCACGGCATGTTCCCAGATTCATCTTTGCAGTCCGTCACTGCACCCTTTGGGAGCTGCAGGGTGTAGATCTTGCCAGATCTTAGGAGCAGGATGCAAATGCAATCGGAGTGCTTACAACAAACATAAAAACAAACCAATGTGCGCAGGTTGCTTTGGAGTTGTTGAAGAACTGCGGCGTGAATTCGACCATTTGACAAAGGAAGCTTGATTGGTCATTGCGGTCAACACATGTATACTACTATGTATTGAAGGTCGCGATCGTCTGCAGACTCAATGGACTGCAACCAACAAAAACCCTTGGGCGATGAGGTCTCGAATGTTCTCAGAATTGAAGCTAAAGACCAAAGTCATAGAAACTGGCTCGTGGTCTGACAAATTCAGTACCATACCTATGGACTTTCCGTGTACCATGACAGACAAAAGACCTGAGGAGGCCATTCAAATAAATCCTCAGCAGGGAAGATGAGATGATCTCCGCTTCGGGCTCCTCCAAGAGTGCAAACAGGAGTCACATCAACGGATCACCAACTGCTTGGATTAGAACACAAACAGGAGCAAAGGCATCGCTACTAGGGGCTCCTGGCATCGCTACTAGGAGCGATCAGACGCTACTAGGGGCTCCTGGCCTTACTGCTAGTAGCACGGGACGCTACCCAGTAACAAGTGGAACGCTACTAGAGTCACATCTCTCGGCCTTCAGCGGGATGGAAAAGCTCTGTACCACGGTGGTCGCACCCGTGTTGTCCACCTGCCGTCGAGTAGTCCGAATCGTTCAAAGGCAGATTCATCTCAGAACCCAGTCTACCGTCTGCTGTGCAAGCTTCAAGAAGTTTGAGGGGATGGCCAGCCTCCAACCTGCTTAACTCTGCTTGTGGCCGAGCAGGATTCCTCCAAAACGGCTCCACTTTGAGACAAAACGGATCATCACAGCGGTGTGCCAAAGTGGGTGTCAAGAACGACTGCAAGTGTTTCAAGCATATTGTTCGACCAACAAACAGAATTTAGTGGTGAAATATTGAAAAGATTTGAAAAGGACCTCCTTCTGCTGAAAAAGAACGGGTGATGAATCTGAATGGTCGGATGGCTAAGTTCTGGTCAGAGTTCTTCTCATGTGTTCAAATGTTGACTGGCAAAGACTCGGTACAATACCTAGCTGGCCATAGTTGCCATAGTCATAGCTGCTGCTCTGTCACCGTTGCAGTTCGTTCGCCAAGCGTCAGGATAATCGGCTCACTCCACAGCAGATTCACCGAGCCGTCCAGCGGCACTGGGACCTGAGTGGGACGGGTGAAGAGCTCCGGCCACGGTGTTTTTTCCCGAAAGAACTGTTTTTTCTGACTTCGGAAGAGTACTGGTCTTTTTGCCACCTGAATCATTATTTTTGTTAGAACATGGACAAGCAGATTTAATTGTATAGTATAGTGTATTCCTGCAAATGGTTTTTATGACAATGGACAGTCTCATGATGACTGAGGTCAGACCCCCTAGGTGACTGGGTCTGAACGCATCCCAGGGACAGACATGCTGTCAGGATCAAAGTTCACCAGAGTGGGGCCGACTTCGTCCAGTAGCTGGAAACTGGCATGGAGCTGGCACGTCTGGCTCTGGAGCTGTGGAGCTTTCAGAGCTTTCAGAGCTTTGATTAGTTTTACATTTCGCGTCACCAAATGTCACCAACGTCTGAGACTGAAAGTTGTGAATGTCTGGCTCCGCTGGCGAACAAGCCTGTAGTCGCCCTTCGGTAGTCCTCCAAAGGCGATGTTGTCCTAGAAGACAGTAGGACAATGACAAGGTAAGTTTCGAGAGGTGTCATATTGGCTTCATGTGTTTTTCCCATTTGGGTGCACCCTCTCCTCGTCGCAAATCTTTCCTATGCCAATGGCAATGCCACAGGTCCTACGGCAGCGGCAGGAAATTGTAAACCCACCTGACCCCTCTACAAGACCGGCCTTTCGCTTTCCAGAGCTACTTGAGACAAGTACCAAGACATATCAATGGTCAAGGATGCAGTGGAGAACTGCATGTACCTGAGGTCAGGAACTCAGCAGCTTGAAGTGGAGCTAGGAAAGGCCAACCAAAACTCTCCGAGGAACGTCCGTGGAACCACCTCGTCCATGACCTGAAGCTCAAGGTCCAAAAGTACTCCGACTCCCGATGGGCCGCTTGTTCCAACGTGAGAATGTGTTTTCGACAAAAAGGGTCGACGCTGTGCAAAATCAAGTATAAGCTATACACTTTTGGTTTACAGCCCGGGGGGGTAGGCCGTAGAGGTAGTAGCTAGGTAGCTAGCAGAAGAGGTAGCTAGTAGCTTAAGTAGCTACTACTTAGGACGCAGGCGGCGGGGGAAGCTGCCTTGAAGTAGCGCTCGCACTAATGATTTGGTTTCAAGACTTTTTAGGAAAACTTAACAGTTTAGCTCTAGTGACTCTAGTGTGTTTGTGATTGAAGATTATTGAAGCAAATACGTTATTGCTGAAATTCTCAAGGCTTAATTGATCCGGAGCCGTCGTGGCGCTTGGTCCGGAGCCGCTCACTTCGCACCAAAACTCGAAACAGCGAAGCGATGCGAAGCGAGCAGCGTCCCCGCTCGAAGCGAGCGTCTTTTGCGTCGAGAATCAGTTCCAGAGCACCAAAAGCTTGCATCGTCCCCGACGGTGCCAGGACACCAGGTCACTACCTTGTTAAACTGCAAGACCTCAGAAGGCGTAGGCCAGGACCCTCTGTCCGCCATTTCTTCCAGTAGCTCAATCAACGTCCGGCATAGATTTTTAGTTTTCTTTAGTTACAACCGTTCAACCGTCAACAAATCAGCTACACCTTGGGCCGATCAGTGAACTTGCCTCGATGTGACCAATGATTCCAGGTCTTTCCATGAAGCCCAGGCATGTTCCATACCAGAACTGATACGAGTATAAGCCTGGTTCAGCCTCTATGTTTCGTATTGTTTCGCCATGTCGACTGAGCAATGCACAATCCGCAGATCAGAGCCGGAGCTGTGGGAGCCTGCAACGGTCACACTTGGCAGCAAAAAAGAAGCATGTTTCTCTGCACGATGACGACACTACAACTTGAGATGAATTTCATTTAGCCAATCTGATATCACATCTGTTCTTCATCTTCGTGCGTGAATGTTCGACAAAAAGGAGTCCGGTCGGGCAGTCTGTCCGCTTCGTGTTTGTTCCCTGTCCGGCCGTCGGCCTCCATTCGCAGGGCTGAAGCCATTCTGGAAGAGCACCGGTGGGTCCAAGTCACACCCCGCACGTGAGGGACAAGCACGGCAGTCCGTGGCTTCGGTGGAAGCGACACATTGACCGAAACCCATGTCCCAAGCACAACCCGCAGCTGCTGCACAGGTGCAGGCATTGTCCATTTGAGGGCACATCGTCGAAGCACATTTCTGCTGCCTCTCGCAAAGAAAGCAATCGATTTCCGTAGGTCTACCTCGATTATGGCAAATACCACCTCCATCAGCGAAGGCACTCCATCCACAGATTCCACCATCTGCACAGTCACATGCAGTTTGTGCCAGTATGCAGGGGTCACTGGTGGTGGTCGCTGTGGAGGTACTGCTGGTGGCAGTGACCTCCTGAAGAGAGCGGAACCGCTTCTGAGCCAAGGCCTTGGCCAAGAGGATGACTAGTAAACGGCTATTCCGCATCCATTGGAACCAACTCCATCCACCACCGGGACGACCGTCTGTCCTTCATTTGATCCTGAATCTGCGGACCTATGAGGTGCACTCAACGGCCAACATAGAATCTTGGCAAACCATGTCGACCAAGCAGTTTTGATCGCAAAGACATCACGCACTTTGCCGGCGATGATGGTCTGAAGTCAAATGGCCTGCAGTTTTCTGTACACCGATTGCAGGCAGTGGAACCATCTCAACTTATGTACATTCATATCCACTTCGTGCGTTTGGCACATTATCTGTAATCAAGAGAAGATTCGCACATTCTTTGATTGGTAGTGCGATTTTTGAAAGCAAAACAACATTGCACCTGCAACTCGCGTTGCACGGCTGCATTCTGAACCACCCCTCGGCTCCAATTATGGACGAGGTGACGAGGAATCATGAAACGTCCTGGCAACTCACCTGTGGCCGGAATGAATGAGAAGAACTCTGCAGCTACAGTAAACCGACCAACGCGTACCAAAACAAGTAAAAAACACCTAAAACAAGTCTAAACTGTAGAAACATCGCAACTCAACTGGCAACATGCTGGAGATGCCACAACTCGGCAGTAGGAACCTGTCTGCGCCTGAAAGCAATAACCGGATCAAAGGATATAAATATACGTTATTTATTTATTTGTTTTTGTTTTCTTATTTAGAATCAGGTTCCATGTTTTCTTTGTCGGTATCTTCTTGAAGACTGTCGCTCACGATCCTCTGCAAAGGCTTCATTGATCTCGGAAAGCTTGTAGCCTGGGCGATGCACAAAGTGAGACAGAAAGATCAGAAAGAGTCTCAGCGTGTGCCTCTGAAGTGGCAGGTCTTGAGTTTGAGAAAGCAAACATGTTGCAAGTTAAAGTAGATTGAAATGTCGACTCGTGTTTGGACGAGCAGCTCGTTGGTGATAGCACGGATTCCAATGGCAACTCTTCTCGGAACTCATCTAGAAACTTCACCTTGGAGGGTCAGGGGAGGAGCAGGAGGAGGATGGAGGAGGAGGGTCATGCCAAGCAAAGGTCCTGCATGGTCCAAAAGGAGCTTCTTTCGATGTACTTCGGACTTACTGGACTTGGATGAAACCTCCTGAGCTTCCCAACTGCTTCTTCTAAGTTCCATGGTGTGTAGTTGTGCACCCCACGGATGGTCAGGCACTGGCGAGATGGCGAGACACGGCGAGACTCGGAACGAACTGCCAAGCAACCATCTCATGATCGTCGGGGCTGTGCCTTTCTGATGATCGTCTCCCCTGTGAGTGACGACAGCTGGGAATCCGGATGTACCTCGAAATCTCATAGCTCTGTGTGGTTAAATGGCTCGGGTGCATGGCTCTGTGTGTTTCTGATGCAAACTCTAGAAGCAAGAAGCTACTAGGGGCTCCTGGCATCGTTACTACGAGCAAGGACGCTACAAGGGGCTCCTGGCCTTGTTACTAGAAGCAAGAAGCTACTAGGAGCAAGGACGAAGTGATCAGACCATTGGGGCACAGCTCCAAAGACAACTCGGATCGAACGGTCAAGGCGTCTGCTCCTGCCCTGCTAACTTGCCAGGTCACCATCCCAGTGAAGGAATAGTGTCCACCGTTTCGAAGGAGCTGCACCCCCTGCCAAAACTGGATCTTCATCTAGTCTAGTGCGCATAAGCGTCACCTTCGTGAAAGAAATGGACTTGCCACTTGTCAACCACTATATACAAGGTTTCTCTAACATTTCTGAAACATAAATACTGTCCACCTCATGGATCACATGTTTGGCGCCGGTCATCTCCACAGCCACATCAACCCCTCGCGGGTACATCTCACGGATAGTGCGTGAACGCTCCAGGTAGTCCTGCCAGTGAAATCCGCTGAATTGGAATCAAGTTGAATAAATCTTACTTTGGTAATATGAAGTATAAAGATATTCAGCCGATGGAACTGAAATCTCTCAGTGCTATCGATGCTGTTCAGCCTACTGTAGAACTCTCTTAAAATCGTTTTCTCGTCGAGGACGGCACACGAGCCAACGAGATGTTCAGGTCTGTGCTCAAGCATGGGATGGATATACAGCAGAAAATAGCTGTCTCAGGTTTTGTCGTGCTTCCCCTACAGCATGCTACTGTAAATTGCAAATTGGAAATCCAAATAAAAGAGTTTGTGAACATGTCGCGACAAGCTTACCCAGCCTCCTCATTTTCAGTGACCAGCAGCGGAACTCCTCCGAACCTGTCGGTCGACACCGAGCGGAAACGGCCCACACGATGTCCAGGCGCCAAAGGATCTTGGCAAAACTCGGACTGCACAGTTTTGCTGTGAATCTACAGTGGAGCAAAAGACATAGATCATCTATCTACATAGTCAAAGGAGGTGTCCTTAGGGCAACTTCGAATCAGCGGACTTCCAGGGCTGACAAATGCTTTTTGTCGAAGGGCTGCAAGCACATCACACATGCCAAATATCCAATGCCCAACTGACCAACTTACATTTCAAACAATCACAAGTCATCACTTGCCAAATCACCACAGTACACTTGAAAAAAAGAAAGAAAAAAAACATGACCGCTCACATCCGCTCACCGCATTGCAGTTCACAACATCAGACATGACAACACGGAAAGTCATAACATGACAGATCCCCTCACCAAATCACCACATGACTGCATCGCACATCAAATCGTCCCATTGCAAGTCACGCTAAGACACCAAGATATCCTACAGGTATATAAATCATGGTAAACGTCCACCCCCCAATCCCCGCCGGAGATTCCCTGGTAAACTACCTCCATGCGTATCTCTCACGGCACCTCTCCGCAGTCTTCAAGCGCTCTGGCTGGGTGTCCAGGCAGAAGACACTGGGCCAGTGAAAAGGCGCGATCCCACAATGTGGAAAGCATCTCGTGAGAGGGTGAACTGTGTGAAATCTTCAAGCAACCAGAGGATCTTCGAACCACAAACATGGAGCCCGAAAGACTGGAAAGAATCTCAGTGATGCTCTGGCTACTGGAAAACACAGACAAATGAAATATGTCACTTAACTTTTAGACTCCACCTGACTCGAAAAATGCAGAGGTGCGTTTTGTGCCGCGTCAATCCCCAGCTGAGGTCTTCACGTGTCCATGCCAACACGCTTTCTCAGCCATGCCACGGCATAAATCCCCAGCAGTCCAACTCCTTGATGCACCGAGTTCTTTGAACAGCATGACTCGAACTCACCAGTTCCATAGGCTGTTTGGGGCAGGTCGAGGGGTGCTTGTCATTTGCCACGGCATGCCATGGTGAGTAGGTACAACTAACATTGGGTTGTTCACAAGTTTTTTGTGGTCTTCATGAGTTCTCTCTGACAAGTTGTAGTGGCAAGTGGTACATGGTCCGCAAGTGTCCTTGGACAACTGCACTCTTGTTGGAGCCATACCTCTGCAATCAGTGGGGGTCATGAAACAGAGCTGATGAACACCACTCTTGTGGGACATCAAGCACCAATCGACACACCTACTACACCTACTAGTGCTTTGAGAAGTCTGGTACCTTTGGGGTTCAGATATCCTTAGGCTTGGAAAGCATTTGCAAAAAAAATAGAACACTGTCTTTGCAAATCTCGGCCTCGGGAGCCTCGCCATGTCAAGCGCATTCACCACCGTGGCCAGGGCACAGTTGGCCGGTGCACAAATCTCAGTCGGCAGAACATGGCGGAGTTCACGAAGTGTGTCTCGCATGGAGTTCACGATGTGTGTATCAGTCGGCCTTGGAGTCATCTGGTTTCACATGTTGAATTCGTGGCTCAAAACATACTGTGTTGCTCTGACTCCAACCATTGACAGCTCTGGCAGCAACCTGACTTTCCTATTCTGCTCCGTGCCATCCATCGGACTTGGTTTGCCAATATCGTTTGGCATACCTATGACCTAGGAAGGACCCAAGTTGTTGCCAGAAAAGGTCACGTACCTCGTTCATTGGCTTCTAAACATCTCAAATCTGAAAAGGTCTATCTTTGATTTCGTGTGGGTGGTGATCTGAAAGCTCGGTGGTCATTGGGGTTTCGACTTCAGTCTTTGAAGGTTTTGTTCCTGGTCTGGTGTGCATTTGGCAAGCTGTTGTTTGAAGCCTTCTAACTTGATCCTTGAAGGACTTCACTGTTTCAGCAACTTCGAGTACTCAGTACTCAGTTTGCTGTGTGGGTTAGAGGTCTTGCATTGTGGACCACCGCCGCCGCAATACGCCGTTGCTGCAAGCAATTTACAGAAGTCTGAGTACATGGTATATTGATGTATATCGGTTGCTGGCATATCTTGTAGCGCTTGCATGTATGCGTCCCTGTCAATATCTTTGTCTTGTACAGTATTATCACAAGCGGTTCCTTCTCTTGGAGCTGCTGGTCGTCTGCTTGGCTCCGTACTCGAGAGCTGAGCTTGCTGGGCAGCTTAACAGCATGCGTCCTCACGGCCCAATCTCATCTTTTTGGACCATGGGGTCATGGCACCTTAAATGAGATGGCCTCCAACCTACTAGCGATGGCCCCCGATCTAAGAGCGATGGCCTCCAACCTAAGAGCGATGGCCTCCAACCTACTAGCCACGGCCTCCAACCTATTAGCGATGGCCTCCAACCTAAGAGCGATGGCCTCCAACCTAAGAGCAATGGCCTCCAACCGAAATGAGATTCGGATTCGTTGATTTATCCAATGTAATGAAGGGTGTGGACCCAACTTCTGAAAAATGCCATTGAAGCACACAAGGGCTTTGAGGCTCTACACTGGGACAAAATTGCTCCCGAACCCAATTGACGTTTCCGCACTGCCCCAGTCCCTGGTCTGAGCAGAATATGGGTGGCGTACCTGAATCCATCAGTTGTCTTTGACAAAGTGTAAAGGTGGCATGCTCCAAGCCAGCCCTACCACCCAATAGGGTAATGTCGATTGAAATATGGATAATATCTGTTCACTCAGGCACTATGAGGTTGTTGGGTTGGGACCACTTGGCTGATGTTCGTTTGGCTCTGAAGAACCAAAAAAGAAAAAGTGCAGGTGCAGGGGCTCCAGTCAACCCTGGCCCCTGCGCACGTCCCATTGAGGCCGGTTCCTTCTGAAATCCGAGCATGGCCATACCTGCAAACAATTTGCAAACGCCGAAAAACGTGCACAGGTCCGAAAGACTGGCTGGAAAATGTCCATGGCCACTTCTGTCTCGCGGCCCCTGTCTCGCGCACTTCATCAGGGAGACACACTTCTGAGGCAGCCTGAGTGTTTCAGTCATGCGAGCATGGATTGTTGCAGGTGACCAAGGTGACCCTCATTTTTCTGGCAGAGAGGAACAGGTTGGTGCTCCAAAGTCTTGTTCGGACAATTCCATGGTTCTTGGGCGTTTAACTGAGGGTTTTCTCAAGGTGCTGACTTATGCAGCGTACATTCGGGGCAAAGCCCACACGAATCTGCGACGCTGAAGGTCACTCGGTCGCCCTCTCGCAGCTTCCATCCGCGGTGCCTGGCCAAGAAACTGTTCAAACTCCGTCGTTGTACGGGCCTCACTTACTCCTTGCCCCATTGTTCCTAGTAGCGATGCCCTTTGTTACGTTCGTAGCGTTCGGGAGCCCCCTTTGGTCAAACGTTCTCCGCATCTGGTCATCAACTCATTCTCACCACATTCACCACTGTCCTTTGAGGCCCGACTTTCACTTGCCGCCAGTACCATGGTCACAACCGCTGTTCTTTGCGTTCATGGTGGTTGGTCGTTCCACTCATCAAAGCACCACCCAGTGACCACCCATCCACCACACGCCACACCATCCACACGCATGGAATTTGGATCTCTCTTCAAGAATTCAGAATGAGGTGAACAGTGTTCACACGTGTTCACTCAGGCATTCTCCCGTAATCTCCCGCCTTGGACGGTTGCCACTGAAAATATCCGAGCCCACTCGCTCAATCACACCAACGCCTTGCAACTTGAAGCAGTCTCTGAAATAGTTGAGCCCTCATATAGTCACGTCGATTGCAGGGGTCCTGAACCAGTCTTTCAGAAAACCCACCTTCATGTCCCAGCACAAGAGGCATTGGTTCCTGTCTTTTGCCACTCACCTCTCAGAGTCCAAGCATCAAATGTCATGCCTCTGCCGCTGTAGCTGTGTCTACAGCTAACTACTCTACATGTGTGTATGTGTGTGTGACTCGATGTAAAGTTCTACAACTCCTCATATATATATATATATAGAGAGATGTTGCTGCCAGCTACCTCATCCTTGCCAAACCTCGCCATGAATGCTGGGAGGCGAACTGTATGCAAGTCACTCCCACAGATCGTAGCTACCTGACATGTAGCGATCGTTTGTAACTCCATGACTCCATGCTACAATCGCCACATATCAAGCCACAGCCATGGACCTGACAAGATTCCACACCTCCATCCGGACCAGCAGTTCACCCTCGTTGAGCTTCTCTGGCAGAGGGATCTGACAGCACAAATGAGATCGAAGGACGCGATCAACGGCAACATCTCACTTGTGTGTGTTCGCGCCCGATTCGTTTGCAGGAAGCAGATACTGTAGATATGGAGTGGGAAAAATGCAATCAACATCCACGTGCGCTAATCTGCATGACAAGAATTTGCTTGCTTGTTTGGATGCTAGCTTGTTGAAAGGGTCTGCTGCAAATGGCGCAGGACAGCAAACAGTCTGCATGGTTCTATAAGTCTATATAAGCATTTACGCCAGGATCTGGCTCAAACAAACAAAACCACATCTTTTGCTCTGTGTGTGTGGGTGTGTGGCGGGGGGCATGTTTTTTTTGATCTGTGGACGTTCGTCTGTGCCAAGGGCCTTTGCATGGCACGCAAACTGCCTGATGGATCCCAGAACAAAGTATTTCTACAAGCCGTGCCTTCACCTTTTCCTCACAGCCCACGGTTGTCGCACATGATTTAGGATCGCAACCTTGTCCAACGACAGATTCTGCTCGCCTTACTGGCTATGGAGAACTTTGTCAAGACCTTCTCTTTTGGAAACCAAGACCTGGTTCCCTGGGCACCCTTGCGACGAACCCCTTTCTCATTGTCTTGCACTTGATCAGTGAACAAACAGCTTTGATCAGGCTGAGGTCAAAAGACTTATTAAAAGGCTGGTAACTAAGTGGTGTTTTTTCATGTCTCGATGTGTTTGGAATACGGAATGATGAAATCCTGCCTCTCGCAGCTCAAACGGTTTTCCAACTTCGTGGAAGACGGCGGCTACAGCTTTGGTAGCCCATCCTGGGCCATGCGCAAATACAGTACGTGCGAGAAACCGTCTGTCTTTCTGCAATCTGGGCATAGCACGCCGATTGAGAAAGCGTCTGGTCAAGCCTGACATAGAAACAATCTTTGAGTTGGAACGATTCACGCCATGTCCGATGAGTGCCACCAAGAAATGCGCTTCAATAGAGCAACAAATCCTGCAAGTAAGAAACATGTTCACGCAATACAGTGTGCACTTGATTTTAGCCCACGCCCCCCCATCTTGATGTCTAAAACATTCGGTGGCGGGCTACCTAAAAGCAAGAAGTATTCATACTGAACTCGGGATAAACATATCCGTGTATAGCACTCAAGTGGTTTTTGTCCTGCAAGCGCAAAGGTGCCCATGGAATGCACCCACAGATTGTCAGCAGTTGTGACCAGCACATAATCATGGTAGTATGGGCCCATGCATGTGACCTGTCAAAAATGGCAGGAAGCATTTTATCAAGGAAAAAAATAAGATAATACATAATATATATATAGATGTGTCTTTCTTGAGCCTTAAGGATGTTCAAGAACGTTTGGATGATCGAGGATTTCAAGGAAGTTTGGGGCGGTCAGCAGTCCAAAAAGCCTCTGTAGCAATTTGCCAGGATGGAATCGCATGCGAACGCGATGCAATGCTATAGATCTCATCGCCAGGCATGTGGCGTGTGGCGATCCTGTGGAGCATGTCCGCTGCATGCCACTTGGCCGATGCAGAGGTCTCGAGCGGAAGTAGGTCAATGGCTTCATATGACACTCCGCACCCTGGCGGCTGCGGCGCACCCCACGAGCAGCGGCTGATCCATGCGCACTGCGTCGCGCACTGCCGCCTCTGTGTGGCGCCCACGGAGACGTCCGGGCAAACAGGTGCGGGACTTGTGGCGGGGGCCCACCTGCAGTGTTTCGACCTGGTCGCTAGGTCGTTCGACTGGCTGGAGAAGCCGAGGGTCGATGTTAGACTCGTTAGACGAGTCTAAGGTTGTGAGAAGAACATGTATGTACTGGCTGTGTGACAAGCTGCAGAAAGCACATGGGCACAAACTATGCGCAGTGTTGTGGGGAAACACTTATGTGGCTTGTGATGCGCATGTTGTTACCCATCACTTCGAGCAAGTGACTTCGAAAGCATGAGAACGCCTCACGGCGGCCATGGAGCTAGTGCCAGAAACAAGGAGGTACTCTTCCACGTACTTGCCTACGTGTATGGCCTGTGTTTGGTGACATCTTCGAACATGCATCCTCTTGTCTGAAATAGGAGGACATGATGGTGCGTTTGCCAAAAGCAGCACTGCAGCACAAGCAACTCTATGAAGAGAGAAAGGGAAAGAGAGATGGTCGGGTCTATCACCTAGTCAACAAAGCATCGTCATTGATTGTGGCATAAAGCAAGCCTCTGCAGGCGTGGCACACGCTCCATCTTCCATGCATTATCCTCACCAAACCTTTTCGATGAATGTTTGTCTGTGAAACGAGGGACGCATGGGGTCCAGTATGTCGCTTGTTTGGTGGCACAAGCATGTCTCTTTTGGCACTGACCAGCACTCTTCATGCTGGCTGCGACTACATAAAGCCTATGCACAATCTATTGATCACTTGAGCAAAGGCGATTGGCAAATTTGAGACGATACAAAGTATTTCCATGATGCCAATGGTCCGGCCAACGTTCAACCGTCTTCCAATCTTTTGGGCTCTCTGCAACCTGCTGACCGATCATGTCCAGCACAAGGATTCCCTTTGGGAAGATGCGATGTGGAGATCGAATGCAGGGTTAAGTTGCAGGTTGATAACCTTTGTACATGTGCCCAGTCCCACGGTGAGGTGCTGCTGAGGTCGCCTGCCCTGGAGTCCAAGGGCTACAGCTCACCCCTAGGTGAGGCCAAGGCGGCCTAGATCCTGGAAGGAGACACTAATATTTGAAGACACGGGAGTCCACTGGAGAGACAGGTATTTCAAGGTGAGGTCAAAACCTCCCCTCACTGAAACGACATCATCTTTTTGAACTCTTCAAAATTGATCAGCTGAGGACCTTTTACTTCGTCACCTGAGCAACCAATCAGGCTGCATGCTCAAAAGTCAAAGGATTGAGCAAAATGGATGGTTCAAATCCCCCCACTTACAGTAGATACGGGTTCCTCGAGGAAAGAAGGTGATACAACATCAATTCCCCCAAGTAGGCAAGACCGCTCACTTCTCCAAGTCACCCTTTTCCGCCCGATGCGCACGATGCGCATACTCTTCATCAGGATAGCAATGTTTGCCCCCCTCCAACTTGCTGCCCAGATCCAGCATGATGTGACGAATCTCATTCATGTCAATAAAGCCTGTACCATCCTTGTCCATGACTCTGAAGGCCTGTGTCCATCGTCTATAGGGATGGACAGTGGTGTGGTGTGCCGAAATGAAGGACAGGCATAGATATGATGAAAATGTCGACGGCTTCATCGGCTTGATCGAAAAAAAAAAAAAAAACTTGACCACCGGGCCATGACAAAAGAGTCTCTCCACATGCTTCCTAAGCGCTTCTAGCCAATTCCCTACTGTTTCCTTCTCAAAATCAACAATTGATGCATGGGGGGCTCGCTCACTCACCAGGCGGGAGCCTGTCGAAGCTCTTCCTCATCATTCTCTTCATCTTCTTGTATCTTCCGATCCATGAAAGCCAGAAAATCCTTGAGGCAGATCACGTTGTCTCGAGCTATCTCTTCTGTCTTGGCTGCAAGCTCCTCATCGGAGAAAGTCATCCCCAGGGACTGAAAGAGGACGCCCAGTTTAGTCGCTTCAATCTTCTCCTTGCCTTCAAAACCAGCAAACAATTGGAAGGCCTCTTTCATCTCAGCTTCTTGCTCTTGAGTCAACACCATTGCGATAAAAAGTATTGCAGAAGCTTTCGAGACAAATGGCCACCTTGCACACCAAACACTGATCGAGAAACGTATACAGCACATAGTGGATGATCATGCCGACCTTTACACGGGATCACAAAGGGTCAGTTATTCTCCTAATTTGACCACAACATCTCACAACTTATATAGTCCTAAACAATCACAGAATCGCGCAGCATCTCTTTGCTTTGGCAAACAGAATCGCACCGTTCGGCGGCTTCTGCACATTCTGAGTAATGCATGCTTTGTGGAGAATGCTTAGTGTCAAATTGATGACTGGCCCTGGTGTCGAAATGCAGATGTGTCTTATCGCGATTGTTCAACAAAATCACGTGTTTGCAAAAGAAACCAGTCTGCTTGTGAAACTTTCTGGCGGTTCTCAGGAGGATTCTAGGAGGCTTCTGCTGCCTCTTCCTGGCATGAGTGAATTTTAAGGCCATCCAAGCATCCCAAACCAACCCGGCCTCTGCTTCAGGCACCTCTGGTTCAGGCACCAAGGATTGCAACTCCTTCAGTGCAGCAGCCTGGCGCCGGGTGATATTCGACTGAAAATGGACGGGCCCAATGTGGGATCTCTATTCTCCGTGGCGACCTCGCATACAAAAACAAACTTGAAAGGCTAGAGTACTTCTGCACTAAATTGCTTCCTGCCGATCGGAATGGTTGAGGGAATCTTCGAATCGAAGCAAAAGCCTCCGCCGCGGTTTTGAGCTGAAAACTGCCTGTGCAGCTGGGTCCGAGTCAGGCAATTCACTCATCATGGGCTCACGAGACTTGCAAGTTGCCGGTTGACTCACAGCTTTCATTGGAGCACTGCCTGCACTTGGAAAGAGTGTCTCCAGGCCACGTCTTCGACATAACAAGCCACCGTGACTGCAAAGGCTTTTCATGACCTCAATGATTTTGAGATAGGGTGTGCTGGCTCGGGCTCACTGGCTCCAAACCAAATCTAAAAGAAAAGCCGACCAAAACGCTGGTGCTTATCTGAGTGTTTTCTGAGCGAAACGATGAAACGATGCCAAAACGAAGCCAACGACAGTGGCGTACCGTCTGCCGCGAAAGCAAGACCTCTTCGGAGAATGCCTTGGATGTGGCCGATGGGACCGACAGCTCTTCCGCAAATTGGGTTGAAGATGGTTGGTGACATTTGAAGGTCTGTTTCGCAGTTTCATTAGCTTGCGGCACTTTTCTTGTCAAACAGTGGCAACTTGTGAGTTCTAGTTCCAAATTTTATATATGGCCCTCAAGGAGCAACAAAGGATTCCAGTGGATACAGTAGCAACAGATCATACACCGAGATTGCGACAACGTTCCCACAAACGTCATCATTGGGCCCGTTAGACACGCCCATGGCTGGATGGAGATCAGCTGCGGTCGCGGTCCACTGCCCAGTACAGCTAAGGCCGCCGACAACTGTGGCCTCCTCTGGTACGACTGGTGGTTCTACTTCTTCCTGACACGGTGCTCCAGCCCAGAATCCATCTGCATCCATATATATAATACACACCGCGGGAAAGTTTCAATTCTTGGGGCGACTTTACATGGCAAATGCCAAAAAGAGAGGCACGAATAAATGCAAATGTTCAAGAACCACCGCCGGACCTCCACCTCCTGCTTTGCTTTGCCCTTCAAAGAGCCGCAGAGTCGCGCAGTTCCAACTTGAATGGCTGGCACTGAAACAAAGCCGTACCTTGGCCTTTGCCTTTGCTTTGGGCACTGCTTCTGGCACTTTGCCCTGCAAGAACTTTGACGGCCAACTGATTTGTCATGTCATCTGATGGCTCCTCATCTAAGAGGTTGTTGCAGAAGGTGGCCAGGTCAGGCACAGGCGCCTCGTTGTCAGAACTCGCCCTTGTCTAGATGCAGGATTACAGGTCGCTTGAGGGCAGCACAATCATTGCAGGTGGTCGAGTTTTTTGACTGTACAGGATTGTCCACAGGTCCTCGAGAGCTATGCATCATTGCAGAACATAGCTTACAGCTTGAAGAGGCTTGAGCGTCCTACCAACTCAACCGTTACTCTTAAATTACATGTGTCCTTCACCAGAACCTGTGGCTGCGCATCTTCTTCTGAGGCAGCGAAAAGGCTTGAAGGCAGTAAGAGCCTCGAGAAAGCCAAAAAATGCATCAAACCACGGTTGAAAATGCAAACTTCTTCGCTGGAAGATGTCAACCAAAGTCATAAGAGCAACAGAATTGCCTTGGTCGACAACCTTTGAACTAAACTACTAAACGGCTCATCTGCAGACTTCTGATCCTTTCGAATCATGGACAATCTTTGCTGGTATGTACGCGTATAGAGCGAGAGAAAGAGATAAGGATGGAATGGAAAAGCGTTGTGTTCTTGCTGCCCAGCCTGCAGTATTGGCTAAAGGCTCTTGCTGGAGCAGCCGCTAAGCCAAAGTATCCAAAGATCCTGCAGTCTTTGGCTGAGGAGGTGCTGCAGTCTTTGGCTTCACACAGCTTGCGAAGCAAAGGTAGAACGCATGAAAGTGCATTCTGTGGTGACTGCCTCCTGGCAGTGACTGCTGCCTCTGCTCCTTGGCCTTGAGGCGTCAAAGAATGCAGGCGTCAAATGTGCAATGCCGCCATGCAAAGACAAGATGCAAAGACAAGCGAACTGCGATGCCTTCGCCAGTTCCAGGCTTTGGCGGCAAGCGAACTTCCGCCTCGTTTGGTCGCCCATACGCTGTATCCCTACTTTCATTGTTGCACCTTCACGTGTCCTCCCCTTGGTGGTCGGAAACATCCATGCTTTCTTTTCATGGCAATGATGTGCAGTGGCGGTATATCACTGTAAGGATGTCTTAATATTTGCTCCATTGATCAATTGGTCCGACTATTCATCTATCCCCTGTCCTGCCTCTGCAAAGCAAACCAAGACCTGGCGATGTGGCTCAGCAAAGAGCTCAGCAAAGCTCACGGTGTACAAAAACCGCCCATTTTGGTTCTACCAAAAATAAGAAGGAAACAAAACATGTGGGCCACTTGGAACATCCATCTGCGAATCTCAGGTGGACAAACTCCAGGCCTCAGTCCACTCTATTTGTGTCTATCATCATCCATCTATTCTTGCAAAGCTGTATGCCAGTCAGCTAGTCAGGATGCCCATTGCTTTGTGTTTACCGCTGGGGAAATCCCAGCAAAATTGGGAATGAGATAGGGAAATCTCAGCCAAGTTGGGGCAAAGGCGGCCACAGGGGCAGCTGGCCGAAGAGTTCCTGAAATGAGAAACTCCACAACGACCGCAACTCACGCTGTATGGAAACTGCCTCGGACACAGCCACATCAGGATACCTCGCAGAAAAGCATTCTTTCTCGAAGGAAGGAGACCCTGGCCTTCACACATCAATTGAAGTATTCTCCCAAACGCAGGGCACATTGCCAACTCCTCTTCTCCCAAGCTTGACTCCTGCGGAGACCGACAACAGCCCCTTCTAAAACTGATCATGCTTGAGGACAGAATGGTTTCTGACGTTTTCAGGGCTACAGCAAAGAACAAAAACAAACAGGACAGACCTCGGAGCAAAGGAAAGCACGAGTTGCTTCCAAGGCCTGCGCGAAAACAATTGGCAGCCGCTGACCACTCCTCTTTCATGACTCCCCCCCGACTGAAGATTTTCATTGATATAACGTTGGAGAGCTGGCAGCGCGATGCATCCATCGGCACCCAGCCAATGACAACGGTATTGGATCCATACCAATGACGAGCATACGGTAAATACAAACAAAGCACCAAGCACCCATCCGTATTTAATGCTGATCAAGTTGGCAGAATCCACGAAAAGGCCTCCATGGTAGGCCAAGCTATGCAATTCTCGTTGTGGGCCAAGGCCTGGGCAAAATGCCGGAGCCTCATCCTAGGTACTAAAAAAGGCACTGAATGAGCATTTGTGACAAGCATGTGCAACGGAGGTACATGGTGAGCCCCTTCAAAAAGACAGCAGTAGTGTCAGTAGTGGCGTATCCTTGCTAAGTGTCGATTTGTAAAGTTGGTATGTCATGCGCATTCAAGCAGTATCAAACGTGTCTGTCCGGACCATCTACTGACAGCGATTGGCCAATCCGCCAAGCAGCTAAGCCAATCAATGTTTTGTCCGTGAATGCGATGTTGAGGGTCTCAACAGGCTAGCAGCAGCTCTTCCGATCGCTTCTTGCTGTGAGGGCGTGGTGCAGGTTCTGTACAATGCTGTCTCATGCAGCTGTCGCGTCGCTCTGCGAAATTGCCGGTCAATTGAGGGGAATCAAAAGTGCATTCCAGCTTCAGGGAGCACAGTGACTGAACATTTCCAGTGCTCACTTGAAGCTGGAATCTTCAAGCTTCAATGATGAGCAAGCAAGGAGCAATGCTAGACCTGCTTCTAGCAACTGCTTTTCAAAGAAAATATCAATCCCTCAAAGGACATCGACTTCGGCCAGTGCACAGCAGCCAGCCACTCACAGTGATGTTTACCACACCTGCCACACCTGTCGCTAGGAGCAGAAAGGATAACAAAAACTCATGACTCCTGCTATTGCAACAGCACTCCCCCATTTCATCATTTGTTGGTCAATGTTTTGTGATTGTGCTGTGCTTCCTGTGCTGACCTTCCAATTCTAAACTACCCATCAAACTCGAGGGATCCCTGCTTGAACGACGCGTCGACGCATGCACGCATGCAGCCAGCAAAAGAGCAACTGCACAGATGTGGAGGAGGCCATAAAGCTCATCATGCAAATGCAACAAAAAACAGCCTGGAGATGTTCTAGCTTTCTAAAGCGGTAAAAGCCTTGCACTCATCAGTTAAACCGGGTGTTCATGACACAATGGTTTTGAATGTCAATGCTGGCGTGGGTTGTAAGAAAAGTCGATGGTTTCAAGGCTGTATCTAAGTGCCTTGAGGCTGTTGACGATTCGGGATTGGGATATTGCAAATATCAAATTGTTCCTAGCTGACTGTCCACCTGTCTCGGACGTCACGGCGCATCCAGACTTGCAGCTGCCTCAGACTTACTGTGTGGGACACGAGGCAAATTGTGGCTGCAATTTATCAGATTGTTAAGGCAGGCATATCCAGGGAATCCAGGGGAAACAAAGAGGTCCAGGAAACAAAGAAACGGACTGTATAGCTGGTAAAGATTGGACCACATTGCTAGTCTCCAGCACTATCTTCTGCCAAAGGGACCAAAAGGAAACAAGGCCGTGTCTGCGTGTCTGTGGAAACCAAAAAGCAAAGTAAACCTTGAGATAGCTTCAGATACCTTCAGCCTGTCTTTCCATGCCAAGGCCCGTTCACTCACCTGTCTTATGTTGGGCCTCCAGCGTTTTGACTCCACGGGAATCGATCCAACACGAGCCGGCTCAGTTTGGGACTGGCTCAAAGAGCCTGCCATGCTCAACAGCGACCAGGCTCGACAGATTTCTCACCAATCCCGCACATGCGATGATGCTTTTTCACCGGTATGAAGCATATTCTGCTTTCGAGCTGACTGGTGTAGTGATGAATGAACCAAAAAATGCGCCAGCTGGACATGGAAGGCAAAATGGGCTCCCTGGAACCCTGTATGAGCCGCAGCAATAAGATAAGAACCGCCAGGATGAAGAAGAGCATGGCCTTAGGGTAACCCCACCCATTCCAGTAGGTCAAACTTCATGGTTGGTGACTTGGTGGCCAAGATCCCACGGAGGTGATCTTGCCATAGGGCTGAGTCCAATGCTTTGTCAAGTCTAACAATTCCTTCCAATCCCGAGGCACTTGTTGACTCGGTCCTTCCAATCCCGAGGCAGTGCACTTGTTGACTCAGCACCCCGACACGAACAAACATGGGGCCACGCCTGTGGCAGTCAAACACAGGCAGTCAAACACCAGTCCCGACACTCCAAGCGATCAATCTACTCTTCACAGTCATTTGAACAAGGCATGTTCTGCTACTCACGTTCGCCATGGCAAAAATCCGAGTGCAGCTGAACCATCGGCAGCTTGAATCTATGGTTGAAGCATTTGATCTGTCGATTTCATTGGGTATGAATGGTCGTGCGGTTGGGTCAGGTGCAGAAAGCGGTTGGTGCCAAAGCATCGGTGTGCATGACACTTTTCGGAGGAATCACAGGCTTCGTGATCACAGGCTTTGTGAACTGCCTCCCTTGCCAAAAGAAAAACAGCCTGAAGGCGCTGAAGGCAAGACTTTCCCAAGACCGATGCTAAGCTCGGCACAACATGGGCTTGATAACTTTGTATCCGGCCATCCAGAGAGATCTGGCGTGTTCCGCAGTCGGCACGTCTCTGGCTTCTCCGGTAGCGGTATGAGTAGCAATGGATTTCCAAGGTTCTTTTGGGGCTGACTCATTCACCTGCAATCATTGGCACCAGCCCAAAGCAAGGAACCCAACGAATGTAATCGATGCAGGGCAAACGCAGAGACAGACTTTCGTGCGCCTTGATGCAGTGCATGCAGCTCACATTTGGCTACAACATCAAGGAAGCACAGTGAATGGTCTTGGAATTTGCTTAATTCATTTTCACTCGAAAGCAACTCTAAAAACATTATTTACATCCAAGGCCACTGCTGTCCGTAGGCAGCCTGGGCAAGTCGACTGGCAAGCGAGGCCTTAGAGATCCAAACGAATACAGCACCAACAACGCGATGGTGAGCCTTAGATTTCCTGAATAGCCAATGTGAGCCTCCCTGACTTCCACCACGAGTCGCACTTGGTCGTTCATTCCCCATGGAAATTGAATTGCTGGTTTTCCTACTGCCAAGGACCCCCATTACACCAAAAGCGCCTTCCTCTAATTAATTCAAACCTGGGGCTGGCGATCTCATCAGCAACAAGAGATTGAAACTGCAAGAGAAAAGAATATGACGTGCTGTCAAAGATACCTTCCCCCAAAGACATGTGATGTTTGGTGAGTAGCTACACAGCTTGGGTTGGGTGAAAAGACCCATCTCCGTCGTCCCTGAAGGCTCCAGGCATGGGCAGCTCTCCAGTCGGGGTGTGCACTGTCTGATACCCGCGCCTTCGGAACCAAATCTCAAGAGTTTCTTCTTTGAAGACCATTGGAACAACGTAGACCCTCGTCTATATATCTGGGTTTGGGATGGGCATTTCAGGACAACTGATGCTGGATAAAGTGATGAGAGCAACATTGAACTAAAAGATGGTGTTAGAAGAAAGATGAGGCATCTGAAATCGAGTGGTCTGAGGTCATAAGATACAATACAAAAACAAGGGTAGATTAGAATGAGAAGGGCTGACATGATAACATGAAGGGGGAACATATATATATATATATGGGACTGACCCTGCCGCTCTGTTCCTTTCCACGGTTGCTGGTATAGGGTTGGATCTGTGAAGGTTGAAAACTCGATGCACACTCATTCAAAAGCAACCGCGCATCTTGCTTGAACTGGCTGCAAAAAAATCTGCATTCCAGGGCCGCACGATGAGCAAACTGCCAAGTCTTGCAAAAAGTGCGCAGATACAGCACCTTTAAATAGATGGATCTTGAAAGTGAAAGTCAAACATCAAGTGGAAACATCTCAGCACACTTTTCGCTTTGAAATTTCAACCCACTTCTTTTCCTTGTCTGCGTGTGCCTTGAGCCAAGGAGTCGATCAATGACGCGTTTGCTCACATGGTTAAAGGTGTTCTTGACTGAAGTCGAAGAGTCCTTTCCGTCAAAAGTAGGACGCGCTATGTTCAAGTGGGCCAAAAGAACATCGTGCTGGATCTCAAGTGACTTCTCAGGCCCTCTCACAGCACGATATTCACGAACGTGCACTGCAACCGCGCAAGTGCTTGCGGGCTCGGTCTCCAAATGCTCTAAACAGCCTATTCCTGGGAGGATATTTCCGAGACCACCTCCCAGGAACTGAAGCAAATGAGTAATTCCAGGGGTGTCTTGGGATGCCTGAGGAGACATGACAACACAAAACTTCCTTCAGGCCCTTCTGGTGGCACTGTGACAATACCATGCCCAATGCTCAAGTTCTGAATAGAAAACCTTTGCTTTCTCATCATCCAACGCTGGACAATCTGTTCCATGTTCCAAATCAATGTTTGCGGGAGTCGCTGTCGGTTTGAAGCCCTTGACCAATTCGAACGCGAGCGACCTGAGAACAACCTATCAATCGTCCTGGTAGCTTCGCTGGAATACGACCGGCGATCTTAACCTTCTCAACTCGCAGCTGTTCAAGGGCACTCGGAACGATGGTGAAAACATGCAGGTCTCTGTTTCATGGGGGTAGATGCGACACTGCTTCCCAAAAACCAATCCAGGCACAGGCTCCGATTCGAGCGGGTTCAGCTTCGCAAAGATGGGTCGGTGTCCTGTTGCTGACTGCAGGACAGGTCACGTGGAAGGCGGATCACATACCGTTGTCCCTCAGGGATTGGCGAACGCAAAATGCAGACCCTATATATGGAAATGATGGCGCGAGCGCTTTCGGCCAGTTGCACTGCCGAACCCCGACCTATATTTCAACACCCGCCGCTCGTTTTGACGACACATTTTCTGCAGATTGAATCTTCCTTGGATTGACTACCCAGCGCGTACCATGATCTTGACTTAACCCCCTTCGTGGACACAGGTTCCCTTGGCTTGTTCGTCGGTCCAAATCAGCAAAATTTGTTTATATTCAGCTCGACCCAACGCGACCTGTCTTATCGAGCATACGGCGACAGTCCACACGTTCCACCGACAAAATTCGCAGCAATCCAGAGGCTATCGACTGGCGTCTGGATCGAATCCGGGGCTTCTGCCAAACAGAGGGCTCCACACACTGCGCGGGGTTTTGACATGACCACTCAACAACTCACTGGCTTTCACCCGCGCAAGGTCGACGAAAAATGGTTTGATAGCTCTTCACCGATCGAATCGGGCTGAACCTCGATTCCAACAAACGCAAAACGGAAAGATGCTCTTTCAAGCTCTTATGGACTGTTCTGCTGGTTTTGCGGGGGCGCTTTGTCTCATGTCTACTCTCTACTGCCACGGACAAACGAAGAAGCCGCGCTGCTTCCTCCACGTCGCTCTTGACCAAAACGGCCATAGCTGCGATCAGAGGCCAACATATTGGAAGAATCAGCATGGTGGCATTCGACGCACGCCACTGCGTGGGAGATGGGCCCGACATGACCTTCTGAAACAACAGGTCAGATATGCAAAATCAGCAAACACTTCTAACTTCAAACGATGAACCATCTGGGCGCTTTCTCCTATGACGGCGCGCCCCTCGACTCGCACGGCATGCGTCACATTCGGGGTCGTACGAGGAACGCCCCTTGAGACAGCGCTTGAACAGTTGCCGGCTCAAGCGCGTTATTGCAGCCTGTCACATGCATGGCACGTCCACATCGGCAGCACGCGCTCAAAAAGAAACAAGGTATCTCGGATCCATCAGGTTGACCCAAATTCAGCATCCCTCCGGATGGACGCAATCCATGAAGACACATCAACGACATGGGGATCGCGCTTGTCTGACAACGATGACATGGCTTCCAAAAAGACACAACGGATTTGGCGATTGGCGCAACTCTTTAAACGCGATAATTTGGCTCGATACTTCGAGCGAATCAACTTCCATGGCATCCGATTGCGCTTCAGTCTCAAGTGGTGGTTTTACTTAATTCTTCAAACCCTCACCACCTGAAAACTTACGTTTCCTTGATGGGGCAACCATGGGGCGTTCCCAAACATATCAACCCCAAACTGAAGGTCCTCTCGCACTTGAAGCCCTGTCTGCAGACTTGAAACATCGACAGCAAATTTTGCTGGGCTCCTGAGTTCGAATGGCCGTTTCGATGAACGTCCATGGGGGCCCGTCCCGAACCCAAAAATGAGCTTCAACGATCACCTCAGTCTTAATACCACCATTTCCTCACCGCTGGCTGCGCTGAAAGTCAACAATTATATAATCCAGCAAACGACGGCACAAATCCTGCAAAACTGCAAAAAGGGTCTATTGATGACTGATCGACTTGCACCAGAACCTAACAACCAACCCGACATCAACCATGAGATCTTCGGCGTTGACGTCATGCTGGAAAACTGATTGGGCTTTTCCTTCGAAGCGAAGAGAAGGCTTCAACGGGACATTATCCTGAAGCCTGAAGGCACTGCGCGATCAAATGACACCGCTCTAGCGGCTGCACTTGGTCACTTGGTTGCAAACCAGGCCGCAAACTGGCGGAGTGACGAAGGTTAACCCATCACAAACTGATCTTTGGGGATTCTTGTGGGCAGCCAAGCACACAAACGCAACTTTGAACCCCTCTCATCGAGCTCCATCGGATCAATCACAGACCAAAGCCGAGGCTCATACTCAACATATTCCGCTGCGCGTTGTCCTTTACGCCTTTGTTTTTACCCTTTTTCCCCTTTCCATCTGGAAAGCCATTGGACGAACTTTCTCCCTTTCGGCTATCTTCGGAATGCGTTCGGGACCTGTTTCCACCTTTTCCATCTAACTTTCCATCAGGCCTTCATCTTCCCTTTTCTTTTGCGCCGGAAACACCACAGGCACGCTCCGGGATGGGTCTCGGGGGCACTCAATTGGACATACAGCTGCGCATCACCCGTCAAACAGCGAATCAACAGCTGGCACAGATCCGATTCTTGCAAGCAAACGTCACGGATACTGCTCTTGTACCTGATGTATGTATCCAGCATCTGATTGAATCGGAAAACTTCAGCTTCCAGTCTGAGAATGTTGTCTGGTAGATTGCAATTGTCAAGAAATCGAAGTTCCACAACTCTAAGCTCCTGAAATAACCACACTAGCTCCTTGTCTTGAGACCCATAGTTTTAAGCGAAGTCGACGAACCAACTCGTAACCATTGGGTTGGCACTCTGCTTAGAATATATCCCAACGGGAATTGCTTGATGGAGTTCCTGATAGCTTGATCACATGAAAAGTCTCTGTGACTCATCTGAATGCAACAAAGGCCACCGAAAACCTAAAGCTTCTTTGGCTTCCTCATGATAATTGGGATCGATCAAACTAACCCAACTCACAACTTCCTCCAAACACCTACGGAAACACAAATCTTCATGGGGTCTTGTGGTCAATGTTGAAGCATCAATGGTCGGGATAGTTGGCATCAACTGGTCACTTAGTGAACGATTCGAGGATGTCAAATGCAGCGGAATCGGGCGATGCAGATCCAACGGTGTTCTGTGAACCTGGATTCGAAAGGGCTTAAGATCGTTTAACAGTGCTCAAAAGAATTTGATTCTGCTGCTGCACAGTGTTCATCATTCCGGCTAACTGGCTCAAAAACGAAGGCAAAGTCAACCGCTAGAGGAGGAGCTATTCTATCATTCGAGCTGTTTGGGTCAAGCCTGGAGGTGCACTAGGTGGCGAGCTTGGGGACCTTCCATCGTCTGGTCTGAACGATGGTGTCTGGTCTCGGCCCTGTCATTGCCCAGTCGCCTGAGAAGCTTCTGCCGCTGAGATGTCCAAGAGGCGTGGAGCTTCAGCAACTGACACTCCAGACAACAAAGAGTAGGTTCCTCCAGAGATTGAGTTCCCAGAGTCATCTCCAGCGACCATGGCACGGGAATCAAAGAGGTAAAGAAGATCCTATAGTCAAGTGTCGTATGCCGCTGTAGCGGCTCCGCTACCATGCGAAGATCTCCATGTGACCACAATGTATTTCAGCGTGCACGGCATGTCACAACACTCGCAAGACTCACAAGTCGGTCAGAGATATCTGGCAGGATTACAGAACACCTCTTTTTATGAAAGTCACTTGAGATCCAGCACGATGTTCCTTTGGCCCACTTGAACATAGCATGTCCTACTTTTGAAGGAAAGGATTCTTCGACTTCAAAGAACACCTTTATCCATGCGAGCGAGCACGTCATTGATTGATTCCCTTGGCTCAAGGCACTCGCAGAGAAGAGAAAGAAGTGCGTTGGGATTTCAACTCGAGGACTGAAGAATGGTGTGACTGAAATCAAGGAGGACTATGGAGGACTGACATGTTTACATCTGTATACCCCCAACATGTTTGATGAAAAGTCTGGTGTCTAGAATCCTGTGGTTCTTATATTTATGTTTCAACTATAGACATATCGATAGCATGTCGCGTGTCTACAATCATTTCAAATAAATCCTTGGGATACAGCACATGGAAAACATCCAGAGATAAGATAAGCAACAAAGATTCTATATATGTGGGCTAATCTCATAATTGGCTAAATCCCGTCCACCGTTGGATACATTGCTGCAACTCTTCCAAACTCATCGGCACGGGTAATCTTCTTCTTTTATCCTTGACACAGCAAAGCCTGGATCCAGTGGATCTCGGCACTGAGCCTCAAGGGCTCAAGGGTTTGTCATATGAGTGCAAGTACCATACCAGGTCTGAATTTGGATCCTGCACTTCAAAGTTGATGCAAAACGCGTGGGAGTTCCGTCAAGCCAGTGGAGTCGTAAGGCGGAAGAGACAAGTGAAAACTGGACTTTGATTCCAACTAAGACTTGCTTTACATCTGAGTGAAGAGGTTTTGGGCCCCCTTTTTCTACTTTGCTTCACTATATACATGTTTCCAACGAGTTCAACAAGTCACTGAGGAGGCCACCCCACCCATCTTGGCTAAGCTTTGGAGGAATCGGCCGTTCCTCCAGAGCGGTCAATTCATATTGGTCACGTAAACCAAAAAGCTGTCCTTCTTGGTTGAGTGTGTCTGGTCTCATGCAGTCGCACAAGCTTAATGACGTAGCAGGCCAAAGCACACTGAAAGCAAAAACATGTGCATATATATATAGTTATATATATATATATGAGTCTTCCGTCAAAAAGCTGTGCCTCTCTGCCCTTTTCAAAGGTAAAGGCTTTCGGATCCAATGGCATGCCAGTGGGATCCACACCCATCAGCCTGGCGGAGTCCCACAGGACATCTGCAACCGATCTCTGCACTTAAAGACATGCCGGACTTGCTCCATTTGCCTGGCAACCATCTGGAATCTGGCCTCACAGCTTTGCTCTGAGAAATGACATGCTATAGAACCACTGTACAATTTACCTGTATTACTTACATATATCATATGTCTATTCATATGATTCCGTATGTGTAATATTCAAAAAATCTTCACATACAATTCAGGGGAAAAGAAAAACACTACAAATAATACCAGTTGTGATGGGACATATTGTAGTAGCGCCTCATCAAAGGTCAGCCCATCTTCTTGCATTAGCTGGCATGCTTCTGCCATGCCTGGGTTCAGGACTCTTAAGTGGATCATGGCGATCAAATGACATTGCACATCTTGATTTTCAAACGAGTCTGCCTGGAGCAAGTCGCTTCTTGTCCGCGTCTGAAAGGCCCTCTTCAAGATGCCAGTTCACACTGTGGCAGCCTTCTTCAGCCTAGCCATCAATGGACTTCAATGTCCGTGCAACCGAGTTTATCAATCCTTTTATCTTCTGCGCAGTTTCGCACCTCAAAGAGGTTCTCTGCATACGGCTTCGCCATGGCAGCAGGTGCAAGCCGCTTCGCCAACGCCTCGTTCTATAAAGAAAGTCTTCCATCTCGCCTTTTGAAGCCTTCGACTCAAGGCTCCTACAGGTTCCGAACGCATTGTGACTGTAGCACCCCACCCCTACACGGCTTCGCTTGGGTGCGCAGCCAAGGTTTCAATTGAGATCGGGCTGACTTGGCTTCAGCTTCTTGAGCCAAAATGACGAGTTCTTTGGGACTTGGCCAAATCTTGGGCACCAAAGACTCCAGAGGATGGCGAAGAGGCGAGACTGGGAGATTTGAATCACTGTACTATGCGTCTGGGCCAGGAAGAACTCGGTCATGTCAATGCCGGTGGCCCCCCAAGCCTCAGGGCAAAGAAGCTGAATGTTGTATATATCTTCTGTCTTGAACCCCCTACAGTATATGAAAGAAGTTTTGGTGATGCCTTTGGCTTAAACTTCTCTTTTGCCTCAACAAACCTCAAATCAGCATTGTGGAAATCGATGCTTCGGAATTTCCGTTGCTCAGAGTATGACAGGCTCCACCAGTGTTCGACATAGAAGGTGATACACCGCCTCGGAGATGATTCAATATTCAAAGGGTTTACCGCTTGAACTGCCGCTTGACCGACATCTAACTCATGGGCGCCTTTGCTTCAGAACCACACACTTCAACACATCGGATCAAAAAAAGCCTTCCTTCCACTTGCTACCAGAAGCAAATGGCACCACTCAGCTCAGCCTCTTGAGAAGTTCAACACTACAAGCTGTTTTCACTGCAAATCCGCGCGTGACGCCAAAACGGTGTGGTGAAACTAACGAATCTAATTGAAAAAGCCGGATTTGCCATGGTAAGCCAATGGTAAGCAGCCCAGCTCAAACAGACAGTTGCTGCCTTCCAAAAAAGCTCCCTTGTAGGTGGCACAATGAGGCAAATGACTAGGTTGTCAGTTTCAATCTACCAACTGTCTGGAGCCAGGCCCGTCGGACTTGACATCAAATGCTCACAATGTTCACTGAAACCTCCCTGCTTGCAAAGATTAAAACGGTGGTAGCCAATGTCTGCTGACTCACAAAAAAACCTCTGCCAAGCTGGTCGTCTCTGTTCGGCAAATGGGGCACCTCTCCAAACGTTCCGCACAATCCTTACAGCAGCACACATGTCGGCATGGCATCAGAAGAATTTGCCTGGGCGCTTCCAAACAAACCACACAGGCCAACTCGGGCAACTCCTCAGGGGACTTGCTGTTTCGACCTCAGGTGATGCTTCCAGCTTTGCAAAAATGGAGAGGACTGGGGTGCCAAAACTAGGAAAGTTTCACAAACCAAGAAACTGGGGCCGTCACCCTTCTTTTCTTGTGCTCCGAGTGCTCCCTGACCTTTCTTGGCTGCTCCTGGACTCCAAAATCCACGGAAGCTCCAAAGAAGTATGCCACTTGCAGCCATAGTGAAAGAGCAAATCAATCTGGGCCAGCTTAGATCTTCCGGCGTCTGCATAAGGTCGCTTTGCTCAACATCTTGCTCGGCTTCGTGCCGGCCTTGTGGTTCCTCAATCTGCACCCGCCACTGCAAGTCTTCAATTCTTGGAATCACTTGAAAAAGCGATCCTGTTGCACGTGCCAAGAATTCTGTGCCCCCAACCACTGGACCTAGCCACCACTCTGATTGATGCGCTCGAAAATAAAGGAAAACCTTCACGGGTCCTTCTGAATGCGAAGTATCATTGCCTTTGGCCGCACTTGCCTTTGACAACGTGGCTCCATAGACTGGACGCGCATCGCAGAATTGCTTCTCCTGAACAAATTCATGGCCACTGATGAAAATGCTCTCAGGGATGGCTACCTTGGCATCAAGGATTTGAACCTCCTGTACTTGGCCTTGAAAAGATCTCCAGTTCGCATCACTTGACAGCAAGTCAGCTGTAGCATAAGCCCAAACTCTACCATCTTCGATGGAGGGGCCAAAGCGCCAATCGCCACCGGTGAACCAGAGCGAAGAGGTGCGGAATGTGTCAACCTTGTGGTACACAGGCTTGTTGTTCAGGGGCTCCGGGGCAAGTCTATACACACCATTTGCTGCCCCGTCCCCTGCGGACAATCCTTCAATGACGATATGTCGTGGATGTGACACCGGCATATGGGTAGGAGCTCCATCAATGGGTCTCAGTCGAACCGCTCCTGGAGGCAGCTTCTCCATGTGGCCTATAAAGACCCAGGGCTCCAGGATCTCTTGAGGCACCGCAGCAGGACTGCGAGAGAGAAGCACTGGAGCTCGTACTCCCAAACCCACACCCAAAGGCAAGGGCCCAAGGCGCCATCCTTCAGCCGAGCAAAGGAGAAAGAGCTCCTGACTGCTCGGACAGTAGGACATTGAAAACCCACGAGGATTTTTGGACCAGGGTTCTCTTACAAACAGAAAAAAAAAAGTCCTGAAAGGCTGTGTGCTTGTAGTACGGCCTTCCATCCCATAATCCGGGCTGCTGCATCAGCACACCCTGCGCTTGTTTGAGTTCAGGTGGACTATTGTCTGCGAAGGATAGATCAAGCACCTGCGGTATCAAGGAGAGGTCGCTCACCCTGAGGTCTGGATCCTGCACAACTTGTTGGCCATCCCAAACCTTCCAGTGCACGTCGATCAGCAATGGAGAGGAAGAGATGCTCTGAGCAAAAGCCCAAACACTTCCATGTTCTGGTGACGGTCCAAGCCGCCACTCCCCTTCAAAGTAGAGGAATACCGCTCGACCGCCGGCGTAGTCAGGGCGTCTAAAGCATGGCCCCTCGCACGCATAGTCTCGTATGTACACACCATTGATGTTGCTGTTTCTGCCCCTGCGGCCGTGGACGACCACAGAGGATGGCAAGGCGTCATCAGCCTTGACCACCAACAGCAGGAAAAGCCTCAGCAGGCTGATAATTCTATTTGACCAAGAAATAAGGTTCACAGCAAGCCATGTTGAACATGAAAGGAAAAGACCAACGACCCGAACCTCAGCAAGTTCGCAGTGCAGCTCCATGCCATCCCAACCACCTGACTTGATGTCTCTTCACCATCGTGGCATCCCCATGTCCAGAAGACACCACGGAGAGCTTAGCCAAGAGGGTTGCGGAGAACGGGTCCGTGAAAAAAATATGCCTTGCAAAAGAGAAAGGCATTCTCAACAAGCAAGAGTTGTGCTGCTGGCTCAACCACTGAGGTGTTTGTAAAAAGAATCTGAAAGCTCCAAGTAGGGCGTTCTGACTCCAAGTGTTTCGTTGTTTCGTCATCCAGGGTTTCACTCGTCTGGGCACTGTCCGGCGTCGAGAACCGTGCCAAAGGTCGCACGACCCAAGAGGCAGGAATCACCTGGAGCTTTTGCTAGTGACTAGCGATGGCCTCCAACCAGAGAGTGATGGCCTCCAACCTATTAGTGATGGCCTCCAACCTATAATTACTGACGATGGCAACCTAAGCGCTGCAAAAGGAAGCTCCACCAAGAAACTGAGTATGATACAGCCTGATAAAGCCTGATGGTACGGTAAGTCGCAGTGCCTGCTCGTTCTCCAAGCCCAAAGCCCCATGGCGGCGTTCCAGCAATGCCTTCCGTCATGTCTTTGGCGTCTTCGTTTAATCAACTGAAACTAATGAAATCCAAGACTTGCTGCTTTAGGGCATAGCAAATACGGTAATGAACACATTCTCTCTGCACCTTTAAAAGCTGCTCCGCATCGCACACTCCTGCAGCTCCAAGGTCGCAGAGTCTGGTCAGAAGGCCCCACATCATCTCCTGCGCCCAAACGACGAGACGAGTCCGGACTACTCCAGCTTGCCTCCTCGAAGATCCGATACAAGACGCCCAGGCGTAAGGGCAACATAGTGAGAAGGTGGCAATGCGTAAGGGCAAACATATGGCAACATCATAGAGGACCCAATCATGGCAACAAACAGCAAAACAAACCCCTGCATCAGGCTGAGCACATCCAGACGTAGACTCCATGAGGTCTATTTATTCTTTCCTAAAATGCAATCCATGATTGGAGACTACAGTGGCTTTCGGAGTGTGGGGCCTTTTCGGCTGTACCATTGCTCTCACCAGGTATCAGTGTTGCTCAATCCAGCTGAGACGGTTGCTGTGGAAGCACTACTTGGGAATAACCTCAAAGCCGTGCCTGGATGTATCAAATCAATTGACACTTGGGTCACGCCAATTTGTATATAGGGTCCGTATATCAGCTTGCTCCGCCTCGGGAGCGCTCGGTCTGAGGTTGGGACTCCCAGCGCTCGGTTCCCGCTCGCGCCTGGGACCACTTCTCTGGCGCCTCGGAGAACGAGAAGATCCGGGTCCATCCTGTCCATCCTTCGTCCCTCCATGGCACCAACGGGCAGAACGTCCCAGCAGAACGTCCGTCGGGCTGCTTCCAAACACCACCACTGCGGAGTCCCCTCTTTGTGATGTCCCCTCGTTGGGGAATGCTGCTCGATGCGCATTGGTCTGTTAGTCGGGTCTTTTCCGAGGTCGCAGCAAGCGGACGACCGGAGGGTCTTGAGGTCTTGCCAATGCCTCGGTCGTCGTTTTAGAGAGAACTGAAGATGCGGATTGACATGGATCATGTCAGGGTGTTGAATTGTGGTTCAATCAAAGACCTATCACGAGATGGGTTGAAGCAAGGGAGCATAATCACTAAGGTGACCAGAATTCATATCTCTTGTCTCTTGGGCAGAATACCGCAAGTTTGTGTGACAGCAGCAGATGATCATCATGGCTAGAACTGAAGACTTAGATATGATGCCATGTATCATTCTACGGCACTCTTAATTTTGAGCTTTGTGTCAATCAACCAATCTCGAAGAAAACTGAGGACTCTCTCTCTCTCTCTCCCTCTCTCCCTCTCACACACCCTCACCACTGTTGTAGGATTCCAACAAGACGCAAAAATTGCACATGGATCAGCATTTCTCACCTTGAGAAGCAGTTGAAGATGGTCTTGTGCTGGCTGTAGGCATCTCGGTCAAGACCTGAAGTTGCATCAATTAAGCCGACACCCAGATCGGCGTAGTGACAGCTTGATGAGTTTGCAAGAGAAAACCAACACATCAAGGTAGTTAGTGTTCTCACGCAACGCTGGGACTTCTGCTGACAACTTCGGTGGCGCATAGACATTGACGTCCAAGGTCCTCGGGACAATGACCTGCAAAGAAAAGGATTCAAGAAACAATTTAAAGGTCATTGGGTCACTTGAAAACCATGTTGCAACGATGATCAAATCCCCTCATGTTTTTGGAACACAATTCGATTCCTCCACACCTGTGGACCGAACCGCTTCCATGATATCAATGGTAGATGCTAGATCACCTAGATATATAGCTAGTGCGATAGGTATGTATACAGGTGGATGGAGCTATATCCGCCGACCCCGCCGGTTGAAGGGGGCGCGCGCCAGAGAAGGCAACCGAGGGCATGCTGGAAGCGTTGCGGAAGGTCTGACAGCTCGAAGCGTTGCTGAAGGTCCGAAAGCGGAAGACAGGGCGTGCGCGACGCTGCTTCACAGACTAGTTTTACGGGTTCCGAAAGTGATGTTAGAGATTCTGGGGGCGTACCGGGAGGACCCCTTCAGGGCGATTTTTGGTCTCGAATTAGATTGCGCAAAGCTGTGGCGGAGGGAATCCCTGGGAGCCGGTGTCAACCAGCCAGAGGACCCGTGGGAGGTGAGAGAACGGCTTGTTGGCTACCAGCCAGAGCACCCGTGGGAGGTGAGAGAACGGCTGCTTCACAGACTAGTTTTATGGATTCCGAAAGCGACGTGAGACATTCTGAGGGCGCACGGGGAGGACCCCTTGAGGGCGATTTTTCGTATCGAATTAGATTGTGGAAAGCTGTGGCGAAGGGAATGACTGGGAGCAGGTGTCAACCAGCCAGAGCACCCGTGGGAGGTGAGAGAACGGCTTATTGGCTACCAGCCAGAGCACCCGTGGGAGGTGAGAGAACGGCTGCTTCACAGACTAGTTTTACGGATTCCGAAAGCGACGTTAGACATTCTGAGGGCGTACGGGGAGGACCCCTTCAGGGCGATTTTTGGTCTCGAATTAGATTGTGGAAAGCTGCGGCGAAGGGAATGACTGGGAGCAGGTGTCAACCAGCCAGAGCACCCGTGGGAGGTGAGAGAACGGCTTATTGGCTACCAGCCAGAGCACCCGTCGTGGGAGGTGAGAGAACGGCTGCTTCACAGACTAGTTTTATGGATTCCGAAAGCGACGTGAGACATTCTGAGGGCGTACGGGGAGGACCCCTTCAGGGCGATTTTTGGTATCGAATTAGATTGTGGAAAGCTGTGGCGGAGGGAATCACTGGGAGCCGGTGTCAACCAGCCAGAGGACCCGTGGGAGGTGAGAGAACGGCTTCTTGGCTACCAGCCAGAGGACCTGTGGGAGGTGAGAGAACGGCTGCTTCACAGACTAGTCGTGTGCGTCTGCACTGTTGTATGCTCATTGCTGCTACCTCCATTCCTATACATTTGCCACCGTGACCCATGTCGTGCGCGTCTGCACTGTTCTGTGCGTGCGTCTGCACTGTTGTATGCTAATAGCTGCTACCTCCATTCCTCT